AGGGTACCAGATGAACACATTAAAAATAATTATAAAGAGCTCAAAAAAGAGGTTGGAGAACAGATCGCGAATGAAAAAAAGCCTTTTATGGCAAAATCATAGAAGCATCACAAAACTAAACTAAAACGGTGTGGAATAAAGTGAATTCGTTCGAAGGCAAACAATCGAAAAATATCAAAGAAGTAATCTATTATGGAAAAACCTTGATCCAACCGCTAGATAAGGCCTCTGCCTTTGGCCACCATCTATCAACAGTTGAAGAAAAACTATTCGATCATTTTGGTTCAGAACTGTCAACGACCTGTACAGCAGGACAGAGCACATGCGAATTCATGATTTTTGAACCTGTCACTGAGAGTGAAGTTGCAGAAATCATTTACAAAACAAGAAGTCTACCGGTCCGGATAAAATTCCAGTTTCACTTATTAAAGAATCCGTATTTATCATTGCACCAACTTTAGTACATATAATTAACTCCTCAATCACCCAAGGGAAATTCCCTTCGAGCTTGAAGTAAGCCTCGGTGATTATGATTTATAAAAAAGACGACCCATCCTGTATTGAAAACTACAGAGCCATTGCTTTTCTTAGTATTTTCTCTAAAATTATCGAGAAAGTGGTGGCAGATAAGGTGACGAATTTTCTAGAAGCTCGAAAATTAATAAGTGGTAACCAACACGGCTTCAGAAGAGGTCACTCAACAGAAACCGGGACAATAGACTGCGTTCAGTCTATATATGACAGTATGGATGTTGGCGAATATATAATTTCAATAATGTTTGACCTTACTAGAGCCTTTGATAATGTCAACAGCCCTTTTGTTTCAGAGAAACTGCATAGCCTAGGTATTCGAGGTAATATTAACAATTGGTTCACATCCTTCCCAGAACGAAGGAAATTCGTTGTAAAAATTGACGAGGTCATTTCAGATGAATTTGACATTGACATAGGAACTCCATAAGGAAGCGTCCTTGGTCCTCTGATCTTCTTGATTTTTATAAATGATCTTCCTGATCACATATCATGGGGGAAAGTTCTGATGTATGCCGACGACACATGTATACTTGTTTCAGATATATCCGAAAATGAACTAAAACAAATACAAATTATTCTTGAGGAATTCAAAAGCTGGTGCTTCAAGAATAGACTAATTATCAATCATAAAAAGACTGCTTGCGTAGAGTATCACAACAAATATAGAACACCTTCAAATCCAGTTATNAAGGATGAAATCAACGAAATCTGCCTATAATTGTCAATTTCTGTTTTCCGACCTTTTTTGTGCAGTGGAAAGACAAGAGCCCTCTTCAATTCATCTGGGAAAAAACCCCCATAAAAGGACTGGTTAAGCAAAAAAACTAATGGTTCAATAATTATATCAATAATTTGCTTTACAGTAACAATAGACATATCATCAATACCAGCTGAATTTTTGTTCCTCATATTATCTAAAGTTTTCAAAACTTCAAGCGGTGAAATTTCTGAGAGATCGAATTCATTTTGAACGACAATATTCTTGGCAAAAGTACATGGTAGAATTAAGTTACATCCAAAATGATCCGAAATTGCTGTTGCAGCCGCTGAAGAGAAATGCCTAGCAAACAAATCTGCAACCGTATGTTGATCTTCAATTTCTTGATTGTTATATTTCAAAGCTATACATGCTGGATTTTTATTTTTAGTTTTTTTCCCAAGTTCATTATTTATGATAGTCCATACTTGTTTAGTTTTATTGTTGGAGTTATATATTTTTGCATTATAATAGTAGGTCTTTCCTTGTTTGATTTTTAATCTGTGATTTTTTAGTTTTGCCCTATAACTATGCATCATATCAGGGTTTACAGTGTTACTAGAAGTTACTAAATGAGTATTCGAGCCATTATTCATAAGTGAGAGATTCGCTTCATTGGCTGTATTGAAAATTTTCCCTGCCATAGTGGTTGTTTTTTGAGAGCCCCATATTATGTTGTGACCGTTGAAATCGCCCATAATAATTTGAGGCTACGGGACTTTCTACAATAAATCATACAGTTTATTCTTGTCAATGTCATAGTAAGGGGGAATGTAAATGTTACAAAGATGAACCTTTTTTGAACAATCTAGTTCTTTTGCTACTGTTTCAATGTCAGTTAGCAGTGGAATTTGTTTCTATTCCAGATGTCTCTTCACGTAGGTAGCAACTTCTCCTGATGCATAAGTTTCATCTGTTCGCTTTTGAGAACAGATGAAACTTATGCATCAGTTTCTTGAAGGCATCTGAAGGATTGGCTAATCAGTATTTGTGAAAAAAAAATTATATTTATGTATTTTTTCAATAAGTGAACGAATCAGTACTGAGAGTTCGTTAACATAGTCCTTGGCAATGCAGAGGAGATATTCAGATCCGTGGGAGTTTTCAATAAAATTCTGTAGTTGTTGACTGCTGAGTAGAAACTCTGAAAGGTTCTTATCGATAAACTTTTTGACATCGTCGGGTAGGTTATAGTCTGTTTGGTTCTTCTCAGTCTTTTTTTCTTGGATTCCGTGTCATTCGGGGTTGTAAAATTTTTGAAATTATCCAATGGTGGATTCAATATATCTGAAACGCTATATTTGTTTGATCTAGGGGGATCAGCTGAATGTGATCTAGAGAATCATCAGGAGTAGGATGTGGTTGCTTGTTAATAACTCGTGGTAAGGATATGGCTGTATGCTGGAGTTTGTGCCTGTTCTCAGACACGTCATTGGCGACATTATCTTCAGACCTAAATTCTCAAGAATTTTCATAAGGATCTCATGAGGTATGAAACATTTGACAACAGGAGCCTTTCTGTTGATGTTATCAGTCTACTTGCTGGATTCATTATATCATCGATTTTTATTTCCCCGTGATTTCTCAAGAACCGATCGACGTTTTTTTTTTGTCGCACAGATATACAGAGATGCTGTTGTTGAAGATTCTGGAACAGTGAGTTTGATGTTTGGGGTCAACCACAGTCCGTAGTTCAAGAGGGTAATCCTGTATTTGGAGTCCAACCAGTAATGTGAAAATAACGATTGCTTGCTCGTTAGTTGGAAGCCGGTTTGATTTTTGTGTTAATGCAGATAAATAAGATTTTGATTGTCGAGTGATATCTGAGTTTTTAACGGTGATAATTTCCATGAAGTTAGATGCCATTCTGTTATTACTCATAATTGATATCTTTGCTCATACGCTCAATGAGTCCGCCTCTGGCAAGCCCAGATGCAGACAATAAAGAAAGAGGCGAGAGGTTTCAAAACAAAGGTGATTTTGTTTTATCACACGTACAAATGAATTTAAACAAATGAAAAAACTTTCGAATTTATATTTTGGTGTCACAATCGTGACAATTTTGCATTTTCTCTGGTGTTTAATACCTATGCTCTCAAGGTTTCAAAGAATCGGGTCTTTGTGTGGTGTTTGACACCCATGCCTACATGGCTTCATTAATTTTTTTTCATTTTGTCCGGTGTTCAACACCTTGCCCTCAAGGTTTCACACAATCAGGTTTTTATCCGGTGTTTGACACCCATGCCCATACGACTTCATTCCATTTTTTTCATTCCTAACTTGACAGTTTTGTACTTATTTGGTAAAGTTTTATACCCATCGCCAATTGAACGTTGGCTGTTTATTTATCGTCGGGGAATTAGAAATGAAACACTTCGGTCTCGATATCACAAACTTTTCTCATCTACTGACTTGCTAATCATCGATGATCATTTCCATTCATGTAATCTTTCACCGATTCTTTATTACTTATTAAGTATTCGGGGTAATACACTACAGTAATAAATGCGTTTGGAGCAACGGGATCACCAACTCAGGCACTGCCACGCGACCGTTACCACGTCGCCTTTGATAATGTCTACCGCAGTAGTTGACGAAACGTCATGCGAAAAAAAAAACCTGTAGACCACGGTTAAAAAAACCCTAAAAAAAATTCACACAGTTGTCTCCGGCCGGAGACATCCCTATTAATATTATAAATGCGAATGTAAGTTTGTTTGTTACGGTTTCACGCGAAAACTACTCAACCGATCATCATGAAATTTTGTACACATGTTCTTGGAGGTATTAGAAGTAACGTAGGATACTTTTTATAAAAAATCCCTACTAACATTATAAATGCGAATGTAAGTTTGTTTGTTACGGTTTCACGCGAAAACTACTCAACCGATCATCATGAAATTTTGTACACATGTTCTTGGAGGTATTAGAAGTAACGTAGGATACTTTTTATAAAAAAAAATTCATGTAAGATAAAAAAATTGTTTGTCAACATCAACATACTTGAGGTGCGTTCTACTGGGCGTTCTCTACGGTGAAAATTCTATGTAAATACACAGAACATGATTGTTGTACAAGCTTAGTGGAAGGCACCCTCAGACTCTATAGTCGATGTTTGGCATTATTATTATTTCGGAATCCCCGCTAGCGCGATGGATACGGGGGCTCCAGGGCTCCACCCTGGGACCACTTCTCTTTTCTATACACATATCTTTCCTACGACGTTCTCAGCCCGCTCACAGAATTTCAATGCTAAGTTTATGTGATTTGTCAAAAAAGGTTGATGATCCAGCATTAAGGAAAAATTTGAAATGATAGTGAGGGTGTTAGCTTCAACGCGTAGTCAATTATTACAAACAGTAGATGAGGTTAATGAGAAAAGGTTTAGGTTGATGAAGACTTCATTCCAAATGTTACCATGTTATTGAGGAAATGTGCTGTAATATTAACAACGTTAGCAAATACATGAATGAGATACCTTTGGATATCTTGAATAAACCTTTTATATCATTCAAAAAATCATTGAAGTTATTGATTGTCCAAAAGCAATTCTAAGTTCATTTAAATTTTTCAACCGAATATTTTTCATTTTATTTTTTCCTCAAAATCAACCTAAACTTTTTGATGTTCATTTTGTAGAGTAATACCCATTTCACCAGCTCATATTCCTTCGAAACAACACTTCTTCATATATAATTACTGTTTGCAGGACCATAATACATTGAATATTGAAACTATGGCATATCGAAATGGATATTCAGAAGACGAGAGGGAATTGGACATAGACGAAAGAATTATTGATGAAGGGAAACCAGTTCATATCATTGAACATCTAGCCACATTCACCGTAACCAAAGAAACTGGTATCCTTTATCCTGCTGACGGTATGAGAAGACTGCTCCAGCTAGAAAAAACTAATGGTATTTGGTCACAGAAAATGCAATTATGCTTAGACAACTCTTGGGTCCTAATCATGGATTATGAAACTGACGTGAGTATATTCCGCGGCAAGCATCAGCACAAACTTAGACAGATCTGGTCATCGGAACTGTTGGGAAGAACAAAGTTGCTGCAACAAATATCCTTGCTGTTCCAATCTTACTCTACTCGTTTAAAGTAGTGAAGTGGACAAGGGAGGAGCTGTATCAACTTGACGTAAATACCCGAAAAATAATGCATCTCTATAGGAGTTTGCATCCCAAATCGTTCCTTCTACAGTTGTACGTCCCCCGACAACAAGGAGGCCGTGGACTTTGGAGTTCTTACATGTCAGAATAGTACTGAATGTAGCCTGTAAACTCGTCAGGAGTTCGCATCCCCGTCTCTGCATGATTCGCGACCATGAGAGATAAGGCATTGAAGTATTTCTCTTTAGGGCAGCTGCCCGAGCAGCTGATGAACTCGGTTCAGTTGTCGACACTAAAAAGGTGATCACAACTCTGTCACCGAGTTGGAACCCGTTCAGCAAAAAACTCATATAAAAGTCGCAGAAATCACCTCACTTCTGCGGAAACACAAGGATGAGCCAATGCATGGGGTCTTCTCCAATAACATTGAAGACCTTGGCTTATCAAAACTCCTGAATTTCGCTTTCTTGAGGTCGAGTGCGCTGATTTGAAAACTGAGGGGTTCATCATGGCTTGCCAGGATGGTGTTTTCAACACCTTAGTCTACCGCAGTCGTGTGATGGGTATAGAGGTTCCTGACACAAGGTGCAGGGCCTGCCGCGAGGCGTCCGAGACCCTAATGCACTTGTTATCAGCATGTCCAGCATATGCGGTCTCGGCCTATATCCATCGACATAACGCGGCCCTAAGAGTGCTAGTCTACCATTTACGGCACTCCTACGGTATTGACGAGACGAGACACCGGTGTTGCCCTACGCTCCGGGGATATTGAATCATCAATGTTTCTTTACTATATTATGCATGTTGAACGCATATGTCTTCCTCTGAAACACTCTATCTACTTAAAAAACTCGCATCCAAATCCGTTGCGTAGTTTTAAAGATCTGAGCATACACAGCGGGAAGCGACTTTGTTTTTTATACTATGTAGTGATTAACCTAACCGTAAAAATTAGTTTTAGTACCTCCTGATGATGCTAACTTGGTTGGTTGGTTGTTTTTTCAGAGTATAATGGAACGGTTTCCTGCCAATTCCATTCAAGAACCAACTGCATTCATGAGTCAGGATCCTATGGAGATGTATAATAATATTTTGGTTTTCATCGTGACGAACTCAAATCAGTCCCATCCTCCAGAGATGCATATATTCCAGGTATGTAGAATATCGCTTCGAATAAAAAAATAGTTGGTTTGTTAGTTGAATTAACTGTTTGAACTTAACATTTGGATGAGTGATCTAATTTTTTTCAAATGTTTCAAAAATGATTAAAATCATTTTTGATTCGTTTGAATGTGATTGAAAGTGTTTCTCAGTGGATGTTATAGCTTCGGACTGCCATTAACAGATTTTCTATAAGAAAAAATGAATAGATTATAAAAAATATTGACAAAGTCAAAGATGAGATAAAAAATGAATTCAGAAATATAGGAATGCTAATATGTTGAAAAAACAAATTATTGTTACCTGAAACGAAAATGAATCAATAAATGAGTTGAGATGTCAATTATATGCAAACAATGAATACAAAAGTAAAATAATGACGATAAAAGATGAGAAATACAAATGATGAAAAATGAGAGAAAATAAATTGATGAAATGAAAATATTTCAAACCAAAAACCAATACTTTTGATTGTTAGTATCCACAATCGTCTTGGGTGATGATACTTATCATCCGATATTCATCAAAAAAGTATGGCCCTATCGAAATCCTAGTAAATATACAAATGAAATTTTGATACAAAAACTTTTCTGTAAATTTGTATTGCGGGTCGGATACTTTGATATCATTACTCCAATAATAGGTTATATTGAATATGCCGTCATTTGTAAACCTACTACCATCTCTCCACATAATTTTGAATTCAATCCTATTCTCAGGAAACACCAACGAAATCTAATTCTACGTATACAGTGTCATCCCCAAAGTATGCACCATATGAGAAACTTCACTGTATAATCGGTTTTAAATTATGCACCTTTCGAATTTTGAAAGAGCGATACTTGTATATCTTCCCAAAATTATACTCGATGTACGTTCAAAACAGACCTTCAATGTCCCACGAAAAATCCTTAATCGATATTAATTTTTAACTTAACATATCCTGAAACCTGACTGATATTCTCTTCATAATCAGCTACATGAATGAATAAAATTTGTCTAAATTATATGCTGATTTTCTGAAATACGTTCGGTTGGTAATCTACGCTATGGGTAGAGCTGAAATTATTTTCGTAGAGTTTGATTAGCATTCCGTCGGTATTTTCGATGGACAAGAGTAGTGGCCTAAGGCAGGCAGAGAACCTTCCCCAACCACTTGATCTCAACCTCAGCTGATGGCACACGACCTTCAGCTATATGCCAGTTCATATGCCCTTGAAAGTGGAAGTTGACCTTGAAATTCGAGACTGACTCTGATACGTAACCTTGAGGTTCGACATTGGAGGACGTCTCACGACCTCAAACTATGTGCATGCCATATGACCCTGAACACGAAATTTGACCTAAGATTCGAGACTGTCCCCCAGTATTTGACCTTGAGGTTTGCCCTTGGGAGACGGCTCAGAGTCTTGAGAAATGTGCATGCCATATAACTTTCAGCATGGATTTTGACCTTGAGATTCGAGATTGTCTCCTGCACGTGACTTTCGATGACGTCACACGACGATCCTGTCCTCTCTACATAGTCTTGGAGCTTGTTACTTTAGCTTTGAGATTCGACTGCCACCGTAACATTCATTACCTTGAGCGTGCTGGTAACTTGAAGCTCATGTCCTCGAACTCCCACCGGCCGTGACATATATTCGAACGCCACAGTGAACGATACAGTGTGCATTCCACACTGAGTCTTCGTCGTGGGAGGTTGTCGATAGCTGTAGTCATTCATCACTTGTGTATACAAATGATCTCTGATCAAGTTCGATACGCACCTCCAATAGCGTGTTTGGAGTTAGACGGTGCTGCGAGTTAACGAATGAAAATTTAAAATTTAGATGAAAACCATAAAAATATTATGAGAGTATAGTATAGAACTCTAATGCGAGACATGATTGCCAGAAAATATATGATATTTGACTTCCAAAATATCCTTACGTTTCATACGAGAACGAAGACTTCCAGTGTTGAAAAATCAGCGTAGACTGAAACCAATAATATATTCCGCCAATGAGTTGGCCCCAAGTTGCGTGTGACGCCACATGACCGTAAGTTACGTCATCACCGCAAACCTCTTTTTGACTCTCCGCCTGTGACTTGACCTGGGAAGCCGCAACAATAACATTACCTTGGGTGGCACGTCACATGACTTCGGCCTATTATGGGCCTTCTCCTCTACCTGTACCTTTTAAACAAATTTATCTATAGATCACAAAAACTTTGATATTGTGCACCAATATAGCATAATATGGGAATGAACGCCGATGTAAAAAAAAATATTAAAAAAATTTCAAGTTTTGATGTGTTGGGTTGTGAACAACTATGTTATAAAATATAACTTAGATTCATAGTAGCAGCTTCAACCATGAGTATACGGAAGGATCAAATGAATAACCTAATGCAGGCACAAATTGCAACATGAGTTTGTAATAGGGAAATAGATACAAAACACACAAACAGTAATATCAAAATGAAAGTGCTAAAAGGTGAAGTAAGAGAAAAAAAGTATATTACATTCATAGGGACTGAGGTTCAATACAATACTTGAAGTCACATAAACAATATTCAGAAACACTTTGTTGTGAGTTTCTCGCTACATAGTTTTACAAAAACGCAATCCGCTATACAATAGCTTCTTCAGGTGTGTCTTTACTAAGTAAAATCCACAAATTCAATGCTTCATAAATGTTTTACGGTAACGGAGAGTTTTTAATTCTTTTTGATTATTCAGTAAATTACCGGAGTGCTTGAATCTATTTATTTCTAAACGTTTTAAAAGATTGGGAATACAATGAAAATTGGAAGATGTGACTTCGGATAGGAATACAAATGAGACACCTCAAACGAATTTGAAGCGATTTTATCCTGAAATAATAACACTGACACTTGAATATTGAGGAAAAAGTGTGTTTATTGAATGCGTTAAAATAGATTTTCATCAAGTATCGGTCAGTTTTATCATAGATTGTCAGTTTTATGTCAACCTTTGACCAAACGCCAATCAAGAAAACCTAATATAAAAGCGAAAATTCACCAGTATGGCGTGAAATTACGGCGTCTGCGGTATTAGTCCAATAAAATAAGGATTTAAATTACCATGCAAAAGGCAAGCCTGCATTTTTCAATATAAGTTGATTCATAGGATTCATAGTTGAAAAATGTTGAATTTCATTTAGGGCATAGAAAATGAATAACAACTACCCCAAAAATCCCTTTTTTGAATATATCTCGAAAGCATAGAAATATATGAAAAAAATAAAGACTTGTTGCTTGAGCGCAGCGGATTGAAAGTTTTGGATTGCGTTTCATAAATCCAGAAAACCAATCCCCTCCTGCCATGGCATTTTGTCTCCATGTATCAGGCATGTTCAGCGAATATTTCACGGCCAACAGAAAAGCTAATTTCCGAATTTCTTTGGGTGGTAATCCGTAGAATATATGCGCTGCTCTGATTATATAGCCAACAATATTTTTTTCCTGGTTCACGTCAAATACTCGCCTCACACAATGATAACCCATGGTGACAGGAACAGCGGATTCTTGCTCAATTGCTTGCTTTTTCTTCCTAATAAATCTACTCAAAGAGACGTAATGTAGTTCATATTTAGCTGCTGCAGACCTTATCGAAGCATTATTTTCCAAAATGGATTTTAATCCTCTCTCAGTTTTTCTCACTCTTACTCGTGGCATCCTAAAACAAAAGTTAACACCTTAACATACCCTTACACAACCTACAATATGAACCACATGAAAAATTCACGACGGGGACAATTGAAACATGTTTCAATCGTCCCCCATGTCATGTGTTTCAACTGTCCCTGCAGCACATTTTTGAGTGAACACTCAAATATATTCTTACTCTTGGATTAGAGTAATAATTTAAAGTATCCCGACTAAAGGGCACATACCAAACAAAGTAATAAACGTAGTCGAAGCTGGATACTTACGTTTTTGTCTCTTGTAACACACTTTTTCAATCAATGCAAAAGTTTACTTCGATAGCGGGAAATCAAGTTATCGTGGACGTGCACATACACTCACAACTGCTGTCAGTGGCCGATAGATGGCTACGTGCTTCATCTAATGGCGCTTCGTTTGGTATAAGCGCGCGTGATTTAAACCGCTAAATCGGTCTACTATGGCGGTTGTTTCTATTGTCCCCTGTTTCAATTGTCCCCGGTCTACCCTATATTGCAATGAGTTGTTTGTGTATTTTGTCAAAGATCGGTAACCACATGTTTTTAATTTATTTTATATTAATTGTTGCAATGAACTGGAAAGCGGTAACATTTTTGAATATAGAATGAAAACGCCTTTCAAACGATAATTCACAAGCCTATACTTCCCATTTAAAAAATTGGGGGTTGTTCCTGTCATTTGACGGGGTTTGAAGATAGGGGAAACATTTTTCCGTTTAAGTTTGTCAAATCATAATCTAAATTTGACGTGTGTCGGGATTTTTCATAAATATGTACAGTAACCGAAATAATGAATTTATTCCATTTGGCTTTTACACCCTATATAGATTCATATACAGAAAATGAATACTTGAGTATTGAGAATTAATTTAGTAAATAGTGTAATAAGGTTAAAAATGTTTGCTGACATATGTAATAAAGACGATAATATTGTTGTTTCAGAAATTATTACTCTTCTATATTTTGAATGAAAATTTTCAAATCAATAAAATTTCAAATATCGGAAGAAATTGAGAATTTACTTA